ATCTTCCTTTAATAATATCAAATATCAAATTTTTACTTTAAATGTGATTAATTTCTTCACCTGTTTACATGCAACTTGAAGTGCTTGAATCAAATGTTTCATGAATGTTTACCACATGAAATTATTGAATGAGAGAAAACAGCCACTTCCAACTGTACACATATTTCTGCAGCCTTGCTGAGCTCCTCTCCTTGCGTTTCTTCCTCAGCCTCTCCAACTTGCTCCTCATCTGCAGCCTCTGGAACTGTGTTTTCATTATTTACCTCTTCTGGGGTAAATAATAAAAACAGTCTCTGTAACTTGCTCCCCCACTTGTTGATAGTTTTGCTGTATCACCTCTTTAATTGACGCCCATGTCGGTCCGATGTTGTGGCATTTACCTCGCAGTGACCCACATTCAGCGCTGGACCCCAGTCAGGATTGAGCTAATCCATTTCATACGTCGGTTTGCCTTCAAGAGGACATATCAGAACACACATCAGTATTAATACTGTAAATTTGATAACACTAGTAAAATAGTTTACTTCACAACAATGTAATAACCTCGATGTCCACTGACAAAACTCAGACTATGCTACATAAACAATATTAGCCCGACCTAAACAAGGTTGACCCACTTAAATGAACTCAACAGAAACTGATCATGAGTACACCCGGACAAAATCATAGCAAAATAAATTATGACACAACACTAACAAAGCGAATTTAGACACTCACCAGAATGGAAATGTTTGGAGCAAACTTGTAGGTATCTGGGGATTTTGGAGAAGGTAATATCAGGACGTCTCAACCGCTGACACCTGGACATTCGTCTTCTTTTAGTTAGCTCCGATAACTTAGCCTACTCCAAGCAGGAAAATAGTGAAACGAAAGTCCGTTTTACATCTTTTTACCTTTTCGGTCGTGTGATCAGACATTACACCGAATAACGCAGCAAGTTCGTGCCATAGCTAAAATATCTGTGAGACAGTCGTTTTTGTCGGTGGCAACAAAGATGGCGCTGATACCCATCTGACTAGAGCAGTGACGTCATGCTCCGAAGCTCTATTGTCGTTGATGAGATTTAGGGCAGCCATCTTGGAGCGGTCCACCACTCCACTCAGCGTTATGTGTTTGGCAGGCACAATGACGTATCAGCACATTTAATCCATCATGACACGCTTTTTTGTTACTGGAAACCATATTCAAACATCTATCAAAGCTACATTTATAAACAATAGTATTTTTTAAGTATGTTTTTAATACATAGTTCATCATATTTAAATATGCTTAGTGGCTATAATAATAGAATAGGAATGGAATATTCTGTTATTGATGTATGAAGAGCATATTACAAAGCACACAGCCGTTCATAATTTATTTAATAAATTATTTAGTAATATCAATACATATTTATATAACTATACAAACACTAATAAATAAAGATATGTTTTTCAGCCGACGAGTTCTAGCTTCAGAGAGATTCAGCAGCTGAGATTGAGTCCAAAATCCGTGCTGCAGTGAATCCGTCTCTCTTTATAGATATCTCCCTCTTCTTCTTCACATCGTGTCTTTAGGAAACTTTCAAAACAAAAACGGAAGATTTAGGATGTTTTTTTACTTTTGACAGAGTGAAAGAATATAAATAATAGTCTTTACCACCTGTGTAAACTTTAAACTTTGCCGGTGAATGTTATAACACATAATATAAGTTTTATAATATGTGTTATATTGTTTCCTTTCTTATATTGGCCCTTGTGTCAGATAATCTAAGTCAATGTTAGAGAATAATTATTTTTTTTAGATTTACGGAATCTCAGTTAGCCTTCATAGTATTAGAAATTTGAAGGGCGGCTAAACTCTTAAATATATAAGTGAAAGAAATAATGCACAAAGACATAGTTCTTGCTGCTAGGCCATAGACGAGCCAGAGATTTATTACATTACCACGGATTCCTCATTACAGTTTCATCAGTTCAATACTCAAAAATCTTCCAAAGTCTCAATAAAAAAATCTCCCCGTATTCTAAACATCATCCTTTTTTATACATTCTCATCCTCACTGATGTGAGTTGGAAAGTTTCAACCAATGACGTTGCTACCCTTGATTTGTGTAAAGATTCTGGCGTGGCTTATTAGTATAACTTAGTAGTGTGTATTGGACGACCTTTAAAATATTTGAGACCTCATGAACTCAACATCTGCTCCATTTCATCTCAAATTGTTGTTCTTATCTTGTCCAAACAGACATCCTTTCCAAGTCATTTTTTGGTTCCATTTGCGCTTTGCACGCAAATGGAAGGAAAGGAGTCGGTCAGGTTGACCTAGCGCTGAGCCAAAATCCTTTCACAAAAACAACTCCTTAAATAGTATTTCCGCTCTTACATAATCACCCCTATTCCGCTTTCAAGTGGAATCCTAATTAACCTTAGCAGTTGTTTTTGTTAACATCTATACTAAGTTTACATAGCTTCCCGTGAGTACAACTCTGTATATAAACTTAGAAATATATATAAAAGTCACTTAAAAGTGAAATAAAATGGATAGTGGGGGTAAACTTTGTTTTCAACTGTAACTAATACAACAATTCCAATACATTGATTAAACACACTTGGTCATTGCTTCTATGATTGTTCTTCCATTTGTATAAGATCGAAAAACCCTGTTGGCCTTTTATTGCTTTATGTTATTTCCAGGGAAACAACTACCTTATGGTCCCCTCTCGCCATGGGCGACCGCTAGTATCCCATAATCTGGCACAAATGTAATACAATCATGGATCCACAGTGACCCAAATCATAGATATTCATGATAATAGTTTAAACTTCAACATTGATACATAATCTTGATGACAATTTATGAAGAAATGTCCATAACTCACATATATCAGAGTGATTGTGTGATTGAAATGCTAATCATAATAATCAAAGTATTGGTCGCTTAATGCTTGTGCTCATCCAGGCACTCTTACGCTCACATTGTCATTCATACTCACATTCTCATTCATACTGTCTCACACATTCATGCTCACTCACACTCACTCGTGTTCCTAGTGTGTTAACTATGTGTGGGCCACCAGTGTTGTATTGTATATAAATTGTGTAATAAGTATGTTGTAATGGTGTATGCAAACTGTCTTTCCCATGAGTTCATTTTTCCAACCCAAGTTCGACTTCATTTCCCTTGAACCTTTTAGATCTTTCAACATCCCATAAGCGATTTTAATTCAGGCAACACTTGTCCTTGAGTTCAGCAGTCCTTTGAATTGGTCATGGTTCACTGGTCCGGGCGGCCTTGTGCTTAGTCCGTCTGATGTTCACTGTCCTTGGTCATCCATCTGTATACAGTCCCCAAGATCCATTTCCTCATGATAGGGATCACACAACACACAAGCAGAAAAATAACAATTAGTATTATTATCAGAGTTATTCCTATTTTGGCTGCTAAGGCTCCCCATTCACCTAAAATTTCCTCCAGACTTTTCCATGACCAAGTGTTCTTCCCTGCATTTTCTTTGAATTCCGATTTCAGTTTCCTCAACTTAGTCATTACTGCTCTAAATGTACCTTTTGGTGATGTATTCATAGGGATATAAGTGCAGCATTCATTAGCAAACATATGGCAAACTCCTCCCATATTGGCCAAGATCCAATCTAATGCTTGTCTGTTTTATTTTGCCATTCTTGTTTCAGACAAGCTTTTTGCTCTCTATCATGGATGCCTTGGTCACTCCACGGAGAAAAACACGTTCCTCCCGCTAAGGAAACCTCGCTGTCTCTCTCACGGAGAACTCGGTGGTCTCACAGAGAAGGAGAACTGTCTTCTCCTGGCCTCTTTTATTCTTATTCTTCATTCTTAGCGCTTTTCATAGAGATCCCAATCTCTCTTCGTGGTTCAGCTGGTTTAATGTTAAAGTTAAGGTTTTTGGCCTCCTGCCAAATTTAACAAATCGTGATATATTATTTATT